GGCAAAATAGATGCAATGGTAGGATACGGTTTCAGTTGGCAGGTTGATTGGATGCAACGGTGTTATCTATGCGGTACTATGATTAAAAATTTGCTGCCAGCAAAAGCATCAAACAAAATTACAATATTTAATAGACGTATATAAATTAGAATATTCGTACGTGGTTTGCATTAACTATGGCGAGTGGTTCCATATTTACATAATGACTACAGCAGCTTTACTTCGTTCGAAGCGCGTGCACAGACACGCATCAAAAGCGTCTTTGTTATCTCCGGTGTGTCGGCCGAAGCAGAAGGAAGAGAAGGAGCGAGGGGATGACTGCCACTGCCATTGCCATCGCTGTTACTGCACCAACCATTCCAACTGCCGAACAAAAAACAGCTGATGTAAATCTGCTGCAATCTTTCTTTTTTTACGAAGCCACAATACTCGAGTAAACTGCATGAGATACATCATCATGCATAATAATAAAAACGCACACGACCGCTTGCTAAGTTCCCGTTTTAATGCTATGCCATCAAGTTGGTGTTTTTTTCTCTGACGCAGTTCGTTTTCTCAAACTTACCTTGTGGTTTTTAATCATACGCGATGCACACGGTGCATATGAGCGAAAACTTTGCTCGAACCACCACCACTGCCGTCGTCGAAATCAATAGCCATAAATTATTTTAATTATCTCATTTGAACTGAAGCGGTAATTAATTGGCACTTTGCCGTTTTATTTCCGTGCACAATCTCTCTCTCTCTCTCACTCTCTAACGAGCTCCATAAAAACCGATGGCATTCGCATAAGCCACAACGATATGATTGTTTTATTGTGAAAAATAGGAAAAAGTTTTTTTTTCGGTCTGGGTGACACACACACACACAAGACACAATATGCGAAAAGAAAGCTCTTTATCAAGACATTCTTGCGCCGGATGTGCTTCACGGGTTTTTTTCTCTTCTCTTCTGTCCTCTGAACGCTGTTGCGTTTATGCACGACAGCATCGACGAAAGTGGAAGAAGTTTCGACGATATCACTCTCGAAATATTGGCGCTTTATGGCTCTATCTGTCGCTCTCTGGCGTAGGCGAGCATCAATTACGCGCTCTGCATAGAACAAATTAGATAACGGTTGCCACACGCTGCCTCATTCTTGTTTCAACTTGCACCATGACATTATTAGCTATAGCAGGCGCCAACTAAAGTCACACACAGACGTTAAGTCGCCGTTATCACTAATATGTGAACCATCTAAATCCACAACTCACACATATGACGGTAACAATAAAACAAGAGGCAACCGCACGCCATACCACATCTACGTCTTTGTCTATTTTTCGTTTTATCTATACAAAGTATTTCATACAATATTAAAAGTTGGAAAAGTTTCGTCATTTATCAAAATTACCACTGGAAAATATGTGCTTTCAGTGCGGCAATGGTCACAAATACGACAACTAAAATGGGTTTTTGGGAGTTTTGTGTGATTTTTGCCAAGCATTTCTCCAATTGCCATTTTCATATGTTCGTTTCGTAGATTTTGGAAGTCGTTCTCGGAAATTGCTCGCTTTTCTTCCAATATTTTGTTGATACTCGTGAGTCACCTTGAATACAATCATTTTCACTCGATGCCATACAATGCCTTGCCCGAAATGAGCCGAAAAACTTTGCCATTAGGAGCATCGTCGAAAGTGTTCATGTGTATTCGAAAAGGAATTTCCTATCGCATAATTGCTTAAATCAAGCGTTTTATCGTTTTTTTTTTTCATTTAATTTCGGTTGCGGTTGTTCAGTTATAAAACAATGATGTTAAACTCCAAACAACGCTTAAGATGCCGAACGATACGGCAAGTTAAAGAAAATCTCCGAATGTTCAAGATTTTCGCCTCATCAGTTCTTTTTTCTACTTCTTCGTCTTCTTTTCTTCCACTCTTTTACTCTTGTTTCTCTTCCGTGGCGAGTTTTTTTTTCGCATGCTTTTGCACTCCGACAACCCAGAAAATATGTGCATCACGCGTTTGAAATTTTCCATTTCTCACACAGTGCCAAACAAACACTAAACACCAAAAATGCAAAATTTCCGCCGTATTTCCGACAACGATGCCATCGAAAGGGAGAGTAGAGAAGAGGGAAAGAACCAGTCGGGCGCGTTCAAGTTTTCAACCATTTCCACGCTGTTCACTGTGCGGATAATTTCTTTTGCATCAATTTTGTGCCTTTAAGCGTTTTACTGTTGCCATTTAAAATCTTGATATCTTTTTACTTTTGAAATCCGTTGTTTGGCAGACTCTTAGCGGTTGTTACGGTGTCATTCGAACAGTGGAAGTGGCATTTTTGTTGGATACGGATTTTTTTCTTCTCTTTCTCTCCTCCTCCTCGATCACTTCTCTTCAACGCTTCCATTTTATATTGTTTTTGAAATGAAATTTACAATTCCTTAGTTCCTTTTGCTACTTCATCTGATTTCTTTCAGTCGTGTTTGGTGCTAGTTGTGTTTGCTGCTTTACATCTAAATGGTTTTATGTCTGCGTGTATGATAATCTGTTTCCTTTGTTTTCTTCACTCACCAAAAAAACTTCTTTGGCGGGCAAGAGATGCTTTTTTCCGCTGTCGTTGTTCGCTTTAATTGCATCATTTTTTGCTTCCAGTTCACGGGAATGGTGAGTTTTACAGATTTTAAACGCTTGAATTTCGACGGAAATGGATGGGAAAAAAATTTATCGGTGATGGTGACAAAGCAGAGGTCATTTTTTGAGGATTTTTGTTCTGGAGAAAGAGTTGAATGCATGGGAAAAAAGGGTGAAAATTTAAGATGTTTCAAGACTTGATTCACAACATGGAAAGAAACTATGCAATAACGTCGAGCCTTCCAATCAAATGTGCCAAGATTCCATTTTTGACGGAATGAAATCGTATTTTCTAATGAGACTCTGCCTTAAATTTCGAAAAATTCCGAAAGATTTGATAATTTTCGCCGCTTTTTAAAATAAACTAACTCACTTTGGGTTCCTTAACCCAATTCAGAAACGGATTTTCTTCCAGAATACGTCAATTATGCGTTCATTTCTGCTACTCCAATAAACTGAATCAAGCCCTGTGCAACGAAGGTCCATTTTTTCCTCGCTTCGCGTTTGACACAAATCTTTTGTTTTCCAAGTTGAGCAACTTCGATGGCAAGTGATAATTGCGAATTATACAAATTTACAAAGTATTTCTGTAATGCTGGACAATTTCAAGAATTTATTTCATGTTTTGAGGCAAATTTGCTTTGAGTCTGCAGTTGAAATCATATCTATGATACTTATAATTTTACTTCGTCCTACATTCATCGCGTTTTCCTTTTTACTGAAGACTTTTTTGTTTATCCGCTATAATTTGTATCGTGTTTCTACGTAAAATGTCCATTTATCTGAAAGAAAAACACGCGATAACATCATCAAAATTCGCAGATATCCTTGAACTTTGAATAATTCAAGTTAAGATAATCTCATTCTTTGAATATCTTCCAGGAAAAAAAAAATGGAAAACATCCCAAACATTCAGTAAAGTTTTTTGTTTCTCTTTCGATGATTTATAAAAAGAAGCCGTCAAAATGCCATTTGTATTCGCATAAGTAATGAAGTGATGCACCTGTCAAATGTCGAGCTTTTTCAATTTTTCCGAGGGCAGGAGAAAAAAATAGATTATGTGCGATGAGGTTGATGATGGAGTGGGAATGATGAATAATTCGTGTGGATGTTAAATCAAAATGTTGTTTGTTCGACGTTGCAAATGAAATGGGAATCCATATTTCAACGGTGAAGACACTTAATCATTTAACGTTTATGTGAAAATGATCAAGTCGTCAAGTCAAAACTACAGATTGAATGGTTATGGTGCACAGCGCACCGCAAAAGTAGCAAATCATTTCACCCAACCAACGAACCACCGAAAGAAGAGCAAAAAAACATGAATATGAAAAAAAATCATCCACACATATTACATTTGTTGCCGTGTGCTGGCTTCTTTTCATCCCGGTAAAAGTGTTCACATTGTGAAAATAATGCGAAAAGTTAAAACAATTTTCTGCTCAATCACAATTCCCAAATGTGCGATATAAATAAAGTTTGTGCTTGGTACATTGAGTTAAAACGTAAATTGAAATGCACACACACACACGGACTCGATGAAATAACAATAACAATAAAAATGTTGTTGAACACAACACATAATCCACTCAAACAAATATTCCGTTGTACCTTTTTTCCGCTCTCACTCTCTCGCTCGCTCGCTCGTGTGCGCTCCCATTTTTTGTGTGCTCGTTTGGTCCATTCAACATTTCGGAGCGGAGAACAAAAACTTTTATGACAGAGAAGAGAGAAAAAAAAACGAGCGGGTGTGAGAGAATGCGAGTGTGTGTGTGCTGTGCAAACCTTTGCTGACATAAGGGGTGACGACACCGCTGTGATTATATGGATTGAGCCAGAAGAACGTGTAAAGAAGTGAAAAAGTGATAAAGAAATATCATTCGATCATAAATATGTAAGCGTGCATATACACACACACAGAGAGAGAGAGAGAGAGAGAGAGAGAGAGAAGTCAGAGCTAGTTCCAACAAGCTGGTTGAAACGCCATTTGGCCGTCGCTTTTGCATTTGCATGATGGATGGATTTCGCCGTCTTCCACCATTTGTGAATATTTCACCCAACGAGAATATTGATTCGGTGTAACATTTTGGAAAAGGTTTGACACGCAAGCAGCACCAAAAGTGCCATTTTCAAGCGCACCGGCCTGCGAAAACACGCCAAAAATATCAAATCGCTTTTCGTATCAACGTGTCGATTTCGACGGCAGGCCATACGCTCAAAAAATGTTTTAGACCGAGTAAGATAGAAAGTGGATTTTTCCTGCACTCACAACGAGTGAAAGAGAAAAGAAACGCAAGCCCAGAAGCTTCACGTAAGTCAAATTATATTGGCAAAACATCTATTATACATGCGAATACATAATAATAAAATGAAAATGCTTGAACTCACTGTACAACCGTATTGTGCCATCTGTTTCGCCTCGTGGGTTTTTTGCAACGCACTTATACGTTCCATAATCGTCCATCGTAACACTGAATATGGTTAGTTTCATATGCGTTTTATACGATGGTACGCCGATGCTCGAGTCTGCTCTGCTCGTTTTATTCGTCCATCGTTCATCATTTGTTGTTGATGGATATTTGTTTTTGTTTTTTTCGTTCGTTTGTTCGCCGGTTGATTTTTTCCCCATTCATTCGTTATTCCAAGGGTTGTCGATGCATCCGTCGCAAAAGTCGCACATCAAGTTCGACAGCATACAAAAAGAAAAAAAAACACACACACACAATATTAGTTATACAGCGACGTGGAAAATAAATTCGAAAACAAAAATATCAATGTCAGTGTTAAATACAGAAACAAGGAACCCTCCCACTAAACACAATGGAACATTCATCAAAACAAACACAATCACATTAACATATTTATGCGATTTGCTACACCAATTCCCAGTTACCATCCATACATGCATCCGGCCATTTCTCTCGATACACACACCGCATTTTTTTCCCGCTGGGTTTTCTCCATTTTTGTGGCTGAGTATTTTGCCGTCAGCCAAATCCAATATGCATGGGGGAAACTAAATAAAACAGCCAACACTCGACGACGCAAATTTATTCGTCCGTTTGATTGATAAAATACTCATAACATGTAAACGAACCATTGAATCCACGCTATTCTTGACCTGACACCACACATTTTTATACCGAATGCCGGTGAATTTCGGAGCTTTCTCTTTTATTGAAATGAATTTTATGCGATGATTTTGTCTTTATGATGCACACGATTTTCGAAACCGATGAGCGAAACGAAATGTTCCTTTTATGACGCAACGAAGACCGAATAATTCATTTATTTCATCATTTCCATTCTAATCACCATTTGATTACGACGAACAAAGTAACCGATCTGATTCATTTCATTATCCTCTTTGACTAATCTAATAAAAGAACAGCACATTTTTTTTCTCATTGCATTCAAAAGCGCCACTCTTTTTGTGGCCCATGCAGATTAATGCGGTATAACGTTTTTGTTCAGCAGTTTAATTATTGACAATCTTTCCTATTTTATCAATTGATTGCAGGCAATGTGGACTTTTCATCATCACAAGAGTTTACAATAGCTGCCGAACGGGTCGTTCATTGTTCAATGGAAAATCATATTCTGAGCATGAGTTGATATTTCATTCATTCGTTCGTTCGGTCGTTGGTGTGTGTGTGTGTGTGTGTGTGTGTGTGTGTGACTGGTTTTCAAAATCATGGCTGACCAAATGGCCAAAGTAAAAAACTTATTTGGTTTGGATGTGGGGTGGGCAAAGTCATTTTGCTGCCTGAATTAATATTTCAATAGCATCAGATCGGACGAGATGTCATATGCAATGCACACAGGCATGTATATTGGTGATTAGGTCACGGCTATGATTAAAATTTTCCGTTTTATTCGATTCACATTGTTTCCGAGCAATGGAACGTCAGCCGCTTGTTTTATCAGCTTCGGATGTGTTGCATTGATGTGTGGTTGCTGTTGCTGCTGCTGCTGCATGCTGTCTTTGCGCTGTGAAAAAGCGGATTTGGGAAACCACAAAAGTATATGCGTATGTGTGTGTGTGTGTGTCATTGTCAAAATTTGCGATGATTATGCATGGGGTTTTTCTCAATAATTCGACGCGTTGATCGTCACAGCCATCGAACAGCGCACACACAATTGGAAATTCTCGCTGAGCTCCAAAATGTTTTTTTTCTTTTGTTATCGTTGCCAAAACGTCTATCATATTTCAACCGAGTTCAGGAAGTAAATTTCATTTCAAATACTTTCCTTGCTTGACAATTGCGTCGTTGGTGGTTGTTAATCGACTTTTAACTGTTTCGCCGTTTATCACTCGACTTTATTTAAATACATTTTCTGCCTGATTTGACTACACTGTCAAATTCATTACATGCAATTTGACTCTCGGCCAGAATTTATGGACAATGGAAAAAAAATATGGCAACCGCGCTCTTTTTTTTCCATACAGACACTCGCACACAAATCGATTTAATTTAATCACGCGCGCACATGTTATGAAGTCGTGTTAATTGAATTAATCACTCGCTCATTTAAACATCCAATTTAATTTAAAGCATAATATTTGTTTTCATTTTAAACAGATACAACGAAAGATAAAAAGAATGAAAAATGCTCTTAATTTATATTTATTGGGTTTTTAAAGCTGTTTATTTCAGCGGTGAATTTACCGATATTTTTTCGAATCATGGATCATTTGACCATCGCCCTTCGTCCAGTAATTTAATGACGTTGGATGCGCTTCGGAGAAACACTCTAGCGTTACACTGAAACCTTCTGCCGCTCCGACTGGGGTTGAAAGAAAATGTAGATTAGTGTGGAAATTGAGAAATAAAACTATCTGATATTCCTAACAATTGAAATGGATGAATATAATTGGATTTGTGAAGGCAAAATAATATCAATTCAATAGAACTGTAAAAAGGCTGTTGTTTTAAGAATTACTTCGAAAAAAATCATTTTTAATCATATTTTAGTTGCTCAAATCTAAATGAATTGTTTAATTATTATGAAATCCAAAGAAAATCAAAATCAAATAAAGAACTTCGACGGAATTCAGTCGACAGACAGAATTTCAATTCGCAAGTTCTAAATGCATAATTCAATTAGTACAAAGGTAAGAGAAGTGAAGAAGAAGCAACGGATGAATAATAATAAAGCCATGATAAAAGTGCATAATTGAATGTGTCAATGGCGCTAATTTGATTATAATCATGATAATTTTCACACAATCATACCCAATTGGTATTACTTACCTAGCTGATGCGGAATCCAAAGCATGGGAGGAACTGAGCGGTGATGTCGCACGCGGCAAGTGAGCGAAATAGAAATAGAAAATGAGAATGAAGAATGAAGAAGAAGAGTATAAGAGTATGAGCGTATGAAAAATGAAACTCGATTGCAAAATTAACACTAATTAGACGAGATAATTTCAAAAATGGATAGCGCGAATGATGACGGGCGGACAAGTTCTGAGTGCATTCACTGTCTTTGCTTTTACTGTGACTACATTCATTACGAATTTAAGATGCGACACAGAATATTCCGTTCACATCGCTGTTGGCTGTTTGTCGTTCTTTGTGTCCCATTGCATATAAATTGACGTTGAAGTAAATGGCAAATGAAACAGCCCTAAAAGGCCAATGAAACAACAAAAAAAAGGAGAAAAGAAAAAATTCCACGAAAGGTTTGCTTTTTAGAATCCTTTCAACCTTTCACTTGCCATTCGTCGGAAACTGGTTTGTTCCAGTAAAACACACAGAAAGTAGATAAATAAAACTTTGACGAAATCAAATGGAATGTGATTGAATATTCCAGGTTTTGCGTTGCAATATTTCCATTGGTGTCATTCAGCAAAGTAATTATCGCCGCAATTCGTGCGAAGCAGCAGCAAATGCCAAAACACAGAATATTCTTCTGATAAAACGAAGAAGTTCCGAAGAAAATGTTGCATTCGAAACTTTGTATTTTTTTTTCCCTCGACTTTGCGCAATACGAATTTCAATGAACGTATTGAAGCGTGCAAAAACTTCGCCTCAATGCAAAGTAACATCAACGAGGAAAAAAAAGGAAAATACAAATTTGAATTGAAGAGAAGAAGAAAAAACGCACTCAAAGTGAATGTTGTATCTGTTCAATGTTCACCCGTAAAACATTCAAAATGCAATTGATATTTATACTTTTTTAATTGCACAGAAATTCGCGTTTTTTTTATTCCAATGAATGCAACCTTTTCTTCTCGTTCTACGGTGAAATTTGTAACGATGAACGCGAGATTTTTTTTGTGTTCATTGCTGCGGACTTAAAATAAGAACCTGCATACAAAATTTACGTTTTCAATTCACAGTTTTTTTTTGCCGTACCATGAACCGGGAGAACGGGATAAAACATAGTGTTGAAACATTTTCTTTAATTACATTCGTCTTTTATGCATTTTCTTTGCTTTTTGGATTGAAAACACGGTGTTGAACTATCGCTCGCGCGCACACACACACACACACACACACACACATAATTCAATTCACGATGTATAAATAAAATCGAGCCTAGGATATTGCTAATCACAAGGTGGCAGCGATGTGTGTATGTGTTTCCGGTGCCGTGATGCGATCATGCTATTCATCGGATTTTCTCACCCGGCAACGCCTGTGTAGCGCAGCTGATTTTACTCCAATTTCTTTGATTCTTTGCACTTTCGCTCCATTCATTTTACGTGCTAAAAAATTCATAAATGAAAAAGTGGCGTGTACGAAATGAAAACGCGCATTTTCTTTCGAATTGAAAACCAAGTCACACGCTGATGTTGCAATAGACTCGTCTTTCGCTTTCGGGAGTGCATAGCCATTGCAGCAATGGCAACGGTAACAACAGCCGCAGCACCAGCAGCAGCATCAATGACATCAGCATGTTTGTATGGCCCCGAACACACAAAATGAATGGTATAATGCAAAACTATGCTACTGGTTTGCATCGAAATAGTGTTCAGCATGTGTTTCATGTGTTCGTTTGCACGTTGCAGTCATATGAATGCGAGTATGAATCCATGTGTATGGTGCTGGGTGTGTTGTCGTTAGCGTGAGCGCGAAAATTTTTCTTTCATTTCGCCCGATTGTCTGCTTACCGCTGCTGCATATGTATGTTCGAAACGCGCGTTCGCGCTCTCATGTCTAAATGTTATGATATGGTGTATACACCCGCGAGAAACCCTATAATTTATGCCATTCGAGAGACTTATGAATCAACATTATTATCTTCGTATTTCGTAATCATATCATGAACGCAGCGCTCTCGACATCTCGCTACAAGGCACAAATGTTCGTAATATTGTGTGTATTCTTGCAAATATCTCACTTTTCTCGTGAAAGATGCACACAATAAAAAGACGAATGGAGAGATGAAGAGTGAGAAAAAAGGCACGACAGCGAAATCGCGAACGACTGGAGAAGAATAGAGAGAGAGAGAGAGAGAGAGAGAGAGAGAGAGAGAGAGAGAGAGAGAGAAAGAGAGCAAAAAGTCATTATGCATATGAAATTTTGCAGTACGAAGAAACATATTTTGCATCATGTGTGTAGATTCCTTTATTTATTTTTTTCGGGCGATGCCATTCGTTGCTTCATAAGAAACGTGTGTTCCCGTTGCGCGTTGTTCGTATAGAAAAACATGAGAGAGAAAGGGAGCAAAAGGGGATGAGGATAACAGAAATTGCAACGCAATTATTTCTTGAATCATGTCATATGGTTTTTAAAGCATCAAATCGGCAACGGATGCTTTTGTGTTACGAGCGCCAAACATAAATTACAAACTCATACTCTCACACTCTCTCTCCCATCTCAGTCAGCCCAATGCAATTTATTCAAATCAGCGAGAAATTTGTGCGGAATTCAGCAAATGTGCACGCTTTTTCAAGGCCAATTTGCCACGAATAAAACACCCGGCGACATAAAAATTAAATTGCCTGCACAATCAATGATCTTTCGAAGAAATTCCATAATACTACAAAACCTTTCAAATTGTTTCTCCTTTTGGAAAATATGGCATTCGATAAGTTGCAACGGAAATTATTCGAATTTTGTATGATTTTCTTTCAATTTTTCATTTTAATCGCTTCTTTTGTTCGTTGAGTTTTTAAAAGTCGATCGAATTGGAATCATTTTCGATTCACCATTGGATAAACGATTGGGCGTTGTGAGTCAGACGATAATGAGGTGCTGCATGGAAGGCACGTTGGTAGTAGTTTGGCGTTTCTTGTCTTGATTGGTAATCACATGACGTTTGCACTTCGTTAACCCATTTTGATGTTCGGGTGTTTTTCTTCTTCTTCTTTTTTTCTGATCCGGGTAATCAAAAAGCCAAGCATCATTCTGCTGGGCAATGAAAAACCGAGCACAGAAAGCAGGTCAGTTGCATTTAGAAGAAACTTTTTTCATTTGCACCAAACGCCCAAAAATCAACGGTCACAACACTCTCACTCACTCACTCAACTCACAAAACCCAAATGAGGATCGGAAAAACTTTTCGAAATCCGGTCACGTTTCCATATTTTTTTCATTCTCTATGTGTGTGTCCGTTCAATTCTCTTTCGGTTCGCATTGCTGTATTTGTAATGATTACTCTTGTGTCATTATCGCAGAGCAGGCTTTTTGATGGTGGTCTGTTCGTGCGGAGGACGGGAGTGAGACTCATGTTACACATCTCTCTCTCTCTCTCTCTATCTATCTCTCTGACACCGGCTCACGTTTTGCACCACGATATAAATCGATGAAAAGTCCAGGGCCATCAAATCATTTTGCACGACTGGATGAAAGCCGAGTAAATAAATAATACTTGGGCATGTGTGTCACATACGCTTGCCTCACATTAAATTAATCATCTGCTGTGGAATTAAATGGAAAGAAGTCATCACACAAGTCTGGCAAAACAATTACTTGCATTTTACTATGGGCGAGAGACGATCTTCAATTTTGCAGGGCGATATGACTTCTGAATTGTTGAAAGTTTTTAATTAAGATTTATTGATATTTTATTGGTGTTATTGTGGAATTCAGTGTGGTTTCCACACGCAAATATTCACTTAAATCTGCGGTGACAGTGGGTGGTTTATTTTGTTGTTTTTGCTCATCTACTGGTGAGTTCATTTTGTAATCATATAAAATTAGAGCATCCGGGCCATTAAGTGGCGTTAAAGTGATGAGAAAATGCGCTTATAAAATGTTAACTGAGTCGGAATATTTGTGTGATGCATCAAGTGTGTACAAAAGCCCTTTTTTCTATGCTCTTAAGAAGCCTGCGTTGCGGGAGAGCTTGGCGTTAACGATTATGTCGTTGAATGCCTGCAAGCCTCAACACCCTTTCTTTGTGCTTATGAATTAATGCAACAGAATTCAATCTACAAAAAAGACCTACCAGCATCGTCGTGTAGTACATACAGAAGTAATATAACACAACCTTTTTTTGTTGTTATCGTTTCATCATCATTTGGTGTGTTGTTATGCGAACAATGCGAACGCCTTCCTTTTTCTCGTTGCAAGTTATGTGAGAGAGAGAGAGAGAGAGAGAGAGTGCGAAAAGCAACAAGCAAACATTTCTTTCTGGTGACAACACACTCCCTACACACAATGCCTTCGTAATCTTTTGTGTGTACGTGGAAATTGCAGACGTTCCTTTTTGCTCGTGCCAAACCATAATCACAGCCATGTCATGTGCATTATGTACACAAAAGCACATACCACAACTAAACCCAATTCCATGCCAACACCAAACGGCAATAACAGTAATAATGGAAATATCTCAGTTGAGAAAGTCATCAAAAGTGGCCGCTATGTTATTTTAGCTAGTTTTCCTATTAGGATGACTGTTAAACGACATAGATTAAAGTCGAAAAACGGAAACATATGCACAACGCAATTTCATTTTACATTTTTTTTTTGCTGGATTTGAGTGTACTCCGACTCGAAGCCTTCGAGCATTTTGGGCTAGAAATTGCCCGATTGTATTTTGTTTAATCTCAGGATTTTATCGAGAGTACACAGAGATTTCATATCTTTGCAATGGTTCAATATTGTTTGACCCTGCAGCTTGAAACATTGCTTTTTTGACCACAAAAATCGTTGTTAAAATAAACAATTTTTGGACGTTTCAAATGAAATCCATTAACAAATATATCCAACGTCAAATATGTCTAGATTTTATATCTTTTTTTTAAACATAAATTATTTCGATTTTATTTCATTGAAATAAGCTACATCTAGCTATACTCGTGTCATTCAGGCTTTTTTCCAAAGAAATGCCC